TTTTTTTTTTTTAAATGTAGTTATAAAGCAGCAGTATTGTCTTGGCAAATTTCGTTTCGTTAATCTTTAAAGCCAAATCTAGGGTTTAGATATCAACATTTTGGGGGGCCGTCAATTGTATTTCACTTAAACAGTTGTCTTCTTACTTTTGTGCATTAAAATAGGTCAAAGAAAACATTGGTAACTTTTGAATATATTTGAGGATACATATAAATATAAATGCAAATATATATATATATATATATATATATATATATATATAATTTATTTATTTGCATTCATTTAATTATATTTATATTTATATCATACTTATATGTCTACTCATTTCTGTTTACAAATAGGAAAAAATTCACTTATTTTATTGATAAATTTTCCTTAGAAGTAGAAATTTGCACAGTATGATTTTTTTTTATTTTTTTCGGGGTAGGTCTTATTACAGTAACAAATTCTTAGGCGTTTTTCTTGTTTTGTGAAATTAAACAGATGTTTTTTACCAGTTAGGTTGACTGCTTTGACTTAACAGTCGACTCATCATTTAGTTGAAAGTCTAAAATAGAACTCCATTGTTTGTTTAGTTAAGAATGCATAGTGGATCAATTAAGTAACTAAAATAAACTTCCTCCGTACTGCGGTAGTTATGTTGACATATCAAAATTCGGTAGGTTTTTGTTGTTTTCAAATTTTTATTTTGCGAAGTTCTTGTTACTTTATGATCTGATGACTGTGACCCTTCATAAGTGTTATGTTGAAAGAAACTTAATTTAGAGTTTTCAAGTTAAATTGAATGCTCTTATCGTTTTCTACTGATAATGGAATTAAGGCGTTAGTATATTTAAGATAGCAGAAGAGGTCGGTGAGAGTGAGACTTTTGAGGGCTTTCGGTAGGCAACTATATAAATGGTTAGGCGGTGCTTCGTCAGTTCCTTGAAGATTATTGAGTTGCTCGGGGAAAACAGTTGTCCAAGTAGCTTTCTGACAAGGGATAATGGCAGATTAGTTTAAAATAGTGAAGGATCGCCACATGAGTTCCTGAAGGAGAACGGAGGATGGACTTTCGCAATGAAATAAATTCTGATTGTTGATGGTTAAAGTTAAATATTTTGCAAGTTTTCAGCAAAATACTTTAAGTTCAATACTGCTACATTGGAATAACAGAACATGAATGTTAGCAGGTTCGGTTTTGGCCACTTAAGATACTCATGAGGAAAGTAATTTTCTGTCGATTTTACTTGTTGGATACGTATCAGACATTTACATTTTGCCGGATTTATTGGTGTTTGGTTAACAATGAGAGTCGTCAGCAGCGTTATTTACAGTCTCTGATAAATCATCGGATATTTTTAACTGCAGGAACTACGCTTTTGTTTGCTACCAGGCACCATCGCGCGTTTCTTTAGTGGAAATATTGTTGTTAGCTTTAAAAATTTTGTTGCCAGTGATTTAGCTGCTCATGATCTACGAAAATTTTATGGTTATTAGTTTGGTGTGTGGTGGTCTAGAAAGGTTAAACAGATTTCTAGGGAAGCTTATGAGGGTTTCCTGATCGGTTAGGTTTCCATAAGTTATATTTTTGATAGCTAAGCTTATAAATGGTATGGTGCTGTAGAGGGCCACATATGCTACACAGTTTTTGTGAAATTGGGTAATAACTGTGTAGTTGCAAAAGGTAAGCTTTAATCCATTTTTTTCCATCATGAGAAAATTTTAGAAATGAAGTTGTCATGTGGTTACACTATAATTGATTTCTGAAAAAAAATTGGACCAAGGCGACGATAAAATTTACAAAAATGAAAGTTCTTATATATGACGTTCTCTCTGTAGTTCAACTCAGGGAAAATAGAGAAACTGTCCGATAGTTCGTTGGTGGCAACTGTTGACTTCGCCAGCTGCCACCATTTCGGTATGATACAGTTGCCCATCAACTGTTGCTGTTTGTTAGGGAATGAAAACTTGCATGATTTAAAATGGCCAAGCCTGCAACAGTTGTTGTTGCCAATAAAGCTTCTTTTTATGTACAGCTGTAACGGTGTAATATATTATATTTTTGGTTTTCTCTAGCTTCAGCTACAGTCTAGTTTAACTTTATTGTTGGGATTAAAAGACAGGAACTAGCAAAATCACCAATTGAATTTTTGTTCATTTTCTGCTAGCTGAGAAGATAGGATCAGAGTGTAGTAAATAACGCATTTTACAGGTTGATACAGTTAATTAATTAACTTTTAAATTTTTTTGGGGGGAGGGGGGGTGAGAAGAATCCAACTGGAAGGGCCAGGTACTGGTTAAATGATACGGTAAACCGCAAGTTGTTAAATGAATGACGGAGACGAGAGGAGGAGGGGGAGGTCAGCAAAGGGATGGGTATTTGGTCTTAATTAGCCCATAATAACCCCTCTTATACTAGCAGTTCTCGATATGAATTAAGCGAACAGACTGGCGGCTTAAACAGATTTATTGGACCTACTCTTATCATTCAAGTTCAAATAATGGCCAAAAGTACTCTTGATTTTGTCCATCTAATTGTCAGCAAATTTTATTGGTGACACCAAAGACCCAGAAGCTTACTAGCAGTTAATTGGTGAGGCGGATTGCATAGTTAATGTTCTAAAGTGAAATTGTTTTTACTCGTATTTTACTGTCGCTTAACTTTTTCACTGTAAATCATAGTGTTAAAATTGTAAGTTATTAACTTTATCATTTGAATTCAGATAAAATTTTATGAAGTTCATAGAGAAGAAAAGATTTAAAATGATTTTTGGATCTAGTCACAGAGTTTGCTTGCTGATACTCTATTTAACATATGCCATCTAGAAAAATGGTCTACCGTATAATTTAACATGATATTTAAAATTTTAAATACTATGGTAAACTGAAAACTGTTAAATAATATGGTAAATTGAAAACTGCTCAATGAAATGTGTAACAGTAAATTAATAGTGGTTCAGGACGGAACAGTTACATCCGACCCGCAATGTACTGTTGCAATCATTTGCTTTCAGAATCAAAAAACTAAAGCCAGAATAAACATACACTGACAAGTAACCGTTAAAAAAAATTGCACACATACTACAAGGACGACTGACAACAGACTTGCAGCCGAAGTTTACGTGTTACGTGCAAGTGCGTTCACTTGTTTCACATCATTTATTAGCCAAATTCTCAGGCCTAACCCATTTTCGTTGCATGACTTTATCGGCCCTTCAGAAATAAGTAGACTGTTCTGGTAGCGAGCAAGTGACTTGTTACAGCAGGATAAGAAATGCACACTTTTGTTCCTTTTCTAAGTTTATCCATCCATCCAAAATCTTCAGAAGTCTTGTCCCTCTCTTCAGGCACTTTTCAATTAGTCTACTTCATAGACTCCACCTAACCATCCCTTTCTTAAGCTACGGGTAGTCCCAGCCAACTTGGACCGAGAAAATGAAGTCCACAGCAAAAACGTACAATGCACATCTACAAAAGCCCATTTTTCTCTCTAAAGAACACCCTTGGAAATTATGCGAGCTGGCTGTTCTATAAAAATATTGAGTACCTACGCAAGTCGGGTGGAACCAGTTTTAAAAATTCACATCGCTGTCCCTGAGTTGTTTATCAGGTAATTCGTTCGCTGCGTCCCCTGCCAACCAGCGTAAGCAGCGCAGCTTATAACAACTTGTCCTCTTGTCGCATTTGCATAAATTAGAAGCACCAATACAGTGTGAATTGCTTTCAGTTTACCAAATCTATAGCAGTTTGTACCAAACTGCAAAAAGTTGAAAAAATGAAATAGTTACAACAGCAACGAGAAATTGAAAAAAAAAAAATTGTACCGCTTCCCCCAACACTTTTACAGTTTTTCCACTATCCATCTAGGGATATAACAACTCGACCGCTTCCTTAAGGTACTGCTTAAAATTACCTAGAAGTTACTCAACGTTCCGCCATCGTCCCAATATGAACCACTTGCCACATGAGCAAGGATTATAGTAAAATGCACCCAGTTTAAAAAACCAACAGTCGTCAGATAAGAAAGGACTGTCGAGAGAGACTTTATTTTACTCAGTTATTTTATGAGCTCTCCAAAAACACTCGATCAAAATTATGCAAAAACGAGGAACGGATGCAGACCCAAACCTAAAGAAATTTTTCCATCATCATTCTTGAATTCGCAAAACAACGTAAAAAAATCTCAAAAGTAATATGTCCAAAATTTTCATCTAAAATAACATTTTTGGTGTTTTGCTGTACTGCATGTAATAGTAGAACTCTGGCAAAGAGGAATACGCGTAAATACATAACGTCTTTTACACAATCAAATTGCCTTTAGCAAATAAC